TCTCTCTCTCTCTCTCTCTCTCTCTCTCTCTCTCTCTCTCTTCAGAACCAGGGATTGAACTCAGGCCCTTGTGCTTGCCAGGGAAGCGCTTGCCCCACTGAGCCATCCCCCCGGCCCCTCTGAGGTTTCTCTTAAAGTGTTAGCAGATGATGTAACAGCTGAGAGCCAACAGGTAGTGTATTCCCACCGAGTTCTGTCTGGGCTAGTGCTCTCGGGTCACACATACAAACATGCATGCACTCATTCATTCACTTCCAGGCATGCTTCTTACTTTTTTGCTGGAAAGGAAACCAGGGGAACTGTCCTATAATACCAAAGAAGGACCAGGGGTTACTGATTCCCCAGTCTTCAATATATATATAAACTTTACTTAAAACATTCATTTTATACCCATGCAAGTTAGAGCATGGTGTGTCTAGCTAATTCCTGAAGTTCAGAATAAATTGTGAATGTTTTAAACATCATAGTTCCACTGGATTCATAGGCAGTCAACTTCGGGCTTATTTCTTTTACTTTCAGCGTAAGTCAAGTGTGTGCACAATTAAAAATAACCAGGATTAAAATAACCACACCGTTTCAACAAGACAGCTGAGGAAGAAAAAGGCAGCCTTTACAGGTAAGTCAGTTAGTCCTTTTTTAATAAATTTGAATTCATTCATCAACAAGTTTCATATTGTATCTATCACTCAAGTTTGCTGTTTTGTTTTTCATGTCAAATAATACCAAAAAATTACATCAATGTGCTTAAGCAAAACCGGGTTTAAATTTATCTTTACAGTGAAATGAAATCAACATGGGAATTGACCTTAACAGCGATCGCCTATCTCTGTTAGAGTGATCCTGTACTTACCTTGAACACTCACTGACTTGGGAAGTAGAAAAATGAGACAAGGATGACAAAACGGGTTCAGGGTTGTCCCTAGGGAGAAGCATGGTGGAGGGTAGTCGGTGAGCCGCTCTCTGGGAGGCTGCAGTTGACCCAGGTGCTGGGAATTTAGTGTTTCAGGAAAGCGCGGCACCTTTCAATGCAGTAGAAGAGGTAATCAGTCCAAGGCACACTAGCTGGTGTCCTGGGAAATTTTTGATCCACCTGGGCAGCTATCGGCCCCAAGTGTCAGTGCTACTCGGATGGGGGCTCGTGGTGAGAGGGAAGCCTGAGTCCATTCCAAGAGTGACAAAAAGGTTCACCCATTTCTCAATATTTGCTTGCATAAAATGGCCAGGAATAGGAACTGGTTGCAGGGAAGAAGGTTCAAAGCAGAGTTGCTGAATGGTTCATACTTTCAAGCCAGGAGATTTGAAGTTGGATACATCTCTTTTCAGTAAACACTGTTGCTGGGACAAACACCAATGCATTGTCTATGAGATGAACATGGATATCTACACTGCAGTGTTTCTGTCCCCTTAGAGCCAGTTCCTACGTGTGCAGTGTCACCTTTAGGTGATCTCCTTGGTGGAGACAATGCTCATTCCATGTTTGGACAGGAGGGAAGAGCCATTGCTGGGAATGCAAGGTTCCCATGCTGGCACTAGCAATTCATGTTATTACAGAAGAGCATGTCGCTCGAAAGCCTAGTAGGACTAGTATCATGACCTACTTTCTGGGTCATCTCAGCTTGGGGAGAAATGCATGTCTCATGGTATAGACAGTGAAACCCACCACAGTTCTGGGGTTGGTGACTGGGACTGACCCTCGTGTGAAGGGTGACTTGAGTCTGATCAGACTTTCTCCACAGGACCTTGTGCAGGGAGCTCTGGAGTTGCCTCAGGCGTATCTGAGAATGAGTGACCACAGATGTCATTATAAGTCCTCTCTACACTCTGAGATGCCTGAGAAGCACTCTAGAAAGACAGGATTACTGAGAAGTGAATGATTTATCACTTTCAATTGTGTAGCAAGAAATCTCATTAGATCCCAAATTACATTTTGCTGTCCTTCCTCCAGAGGTCTTAGCATGGGTAAGAGCCACCTCCATTATGTCAGAGGTCTGGGTTCTGAATTCCCCAGCATGACCCAGTCACTGGCTTAGGTAGCTACTGCGGGGTGATGAGAGGTCATTGTAATAGAACAGAAATGCACTGAAGTCTCTTCTGTTAGCACAGCCGGAGTTCTCTTCTCGATACTTCTCAAACTTTTAAAAATGGAGAAGCTATAAAATAATTTTATTAGAAGAAAAGTAATTTTCTTCTGAAATGGAGTAAAGCAAACACATACCCAAGGATCTTAAAAAGTTTTGGGTTTTGTTTTTTTTTTTTTACAGAATGTGTGTGTGTGTGTGTGTGTGTGTGTGTGTTAACAAACACTATTTATAGTATAGCTATTATGTTCATTTCATCGCAGTGTCTATAAAGTGGTGGATCCCCAATCTTGGTGCCAAATGCACGTAAAAAGCTCAAAAGCGACTGTGACTACATCATGCCAATTTATACCCAGAAAATCTCGGGGAGTAGACTGCTGCTCTTCTGAGTCCCAGGGAGTCTCTGCCATTTGTACTTGGGCACCTCAACTACGCATCAAAAGTTTTGAATCATTTTTCTCCCAGGAAGAAATGAATGTCACAGTTCTGAACAGTGCAAATCATACACTTAAACTGACCATCAGCTACTTTTGTCCATGTTTGCTTGCATTGCGGGCCCCTCTTCTGATGAGGGGCTCACCCCTAGAATTACTGGGTACAGAAAAAGATACCTGAAGCATTGAAAGGGATAAAGTCTTCACAAATGTCTTTTTTCTTTAACATATTAACAATGATAAGGCCACTTACAAGGTTTATTCCCAAACTGTTTAACTTTTAGAATCCCCCCCCCATTGCTACCCATGAAAAAAAAACTGCCAGAGAAATGCCCAAGACCAAGAACTCCCTGGCATGTATCTGGAGAAAACAAAATGAGACAGCAGCAGTTGGCAGAAGACATTGAGGAACGATAGGAACGAAGGAAAGGGGCATAAAGATCAGTTACTGATGCTAGCATGAGATTTTTGTGGACTTTGTTCCATCTGACGCTGGGTTTTGAATTGTCACAGACTCCCACCAGTGAGGGTTGCGACGGCCACAAGAGCCAAAGCAAGGAATGGCCAGATCTTGGTGACAGCTTACACCACACACATCCTCAGAGAAGGGGTGCCTGTCGCTACACGGAGGCAGAGGTGCCATGCATTTCAGTACTCGGCCAGACCACGGCCATCCACCTGGGACAGAAGAGAGTGAGGCAGAGGTGGCATTTTCTAATGAAGTATAATTTTGCAGTTCTTTCGTGCACATTTTGCTTTTTGTCTTATCCTCCAAGTGCTCAACTTCACTGTGACACCTGCTTACACACCTGGAGCCACACCAGTTCATGGGTGCCTGTGGTAGAAATATTGTTTACAAAAAATATATCATCTTTTTTTCTTTAGAAAGATCTCATCTAAATAGTAAGTTAAGGTTGCGTCTACGAAACCGGTGCACCTTGTCTTGTTTCTACGAGCTTTAAAAAGTCCAAATACTGATGAGGCTGTGGATCAGAAGGAAGCAAAAGTGACTGTGTTTGTTGTCAGGCGGCCCTCCTCGGCCTCAGAGAACGGTCACGGGTGGTGGGGTGATGCGTGGGGTGTACTGGTTGTGTTCCTGCAGATTCCTAGTTGGCCTAGGAGTAGTTGGATGTGCTTATGAGATATGTCAGATAGAAAACAAAGGCATGAGGATGTTTCTTAGTTTCTGAAAGCGAACAGTAGAAGTGTTTTAGCTTCAATCTTAATTTCTAGATAACAGAAAGTAGTTACATCACATAATGAAAAATATGACACAGCATGCTGCCATGATAGCAAGCATAAGAAACAAAATCTTGGTAAATATACATATGTATGCACACTATGCAAATATACTTTATATTAACATACAATGTTATAAGAATGGTTGATAACATAACTGCAAGGGAGAAATCATCCTAGATGGTTTTACCTTAGATAACAAAGAACCTGAGACGTCTATGCTCCTGTTAGATATCAGGCCTGGAAATCTGGACGAGGCGTAGAGCACATGTTCAGGGACTGAACTGTCATTACCAAAACTTGCCACTGCGTTCCCACATGACAGTTAAGCTGGATCCACGCCAAGTGAACAGTAAAGCCCTACGCAGACGGGTCTCAGCGTACTGACAAGGCGATGCCCTTCACTCCTGGCTTTGCAAAAGATGGACGTTCAGACCTCAATGTGAGAACTACTTACGTTTAAGACAACAGGCAAGCACTTCCTCTGCTAAACTACTGCAGAAAAAGTATACCTGGCGCAATCGAAACCCGTCACCAGGGATCCAGCACGCCTTTGCTCAGAAAACTGAAAGGAGGGTCTGAGGTGTGTGGCTCGGATTCGACTAGCAACACCACCGTATGAGCTTCGGAAAAGGAACTAAGAATGTCTTTCTGAGTTTTCAACTAAAACATCTAACTTATGATAATAAAAGACACACTTTTGGGATGGTGCTGTTTCACGTCCTCATTCCAAGGCGTAATATTTAGATGATACTTGTCCCTTTCAATTAAAAAAGAAAAACTATGACGTTCTTTAATATGCATCCTGTGTTGAATTGTCCATAGCTGCAAAATGTTTATATGTATGTGTGTATAAGGCCATATACACGGGTGCGTACACCGGTGTGTAGAGACCTCTGCACATACATCCTCATATACACGTGTATTTTATATATATGCTGAGAAAGTTCACATATATATACAATTGCGTATGTATACATGTGTGTGTGTGTGTGTATGTGTGTCGTGTGTACAAGTATAAAAACTTGACAGGCAGGGTATATTCACTCAGTGTTAAATGAAGTCTTTGAAAAATCAAGTACAGTCACTCAGTTAACATAGTACAGCCAGTAAACTAAGTTGAAAAGAGAAAAGGTGAAGGGGAACACGACCCTGGACCACCTGTCGATGGCATTCACGTCGGTGAGATCAGGGATCTTAATTTTGAGCTGCGAGGACCTCCTCCGTAGGTGGGTCTTCTTGTGCGGGATGCCTCTGTCTCCCATGTACCGCCCGTGCCCTTCCCGGGGCATGCTCTGTTTCCTGTACTGTATTCCTGAGTTGTCAAAGGATATTGCTGAATTCCTGGTGTCGCCAACGCCGCCTGCAACCTCGTTCATCTCATTGTGAACCTCCAGCGACGTCAAGAGAATGTTTCCGTGAGCGTCCACCTACGGGAGGGGAGAAGGCACAGCATGAAGCGCCGCGCACCCAGACCCGCCTCTCCCAGCCCTGCGAGCGCCCCGCTTCTGCGAGGGGCCCCGCGGTGTCAAACCCAGCGCTTTACTGTGTCGGAAGAGTCATCCTGGAGACTTAAATGTGACTTAGAGATTTTTATTTCCTTGACTGAAAAATTTTCACAGGCAATGAGAGAAGGTACGCGAGGGCTTTTTTCAAATTGAAGCTTTCTATTGTAGGTACGAGTCCTTACTGAGGAGCAAGCCAAAGTATAAAGGACTATCTTTATTTTTTAGGACTATCTTTAAAGTGAGGTCTCTTTCCACGATGGAATCGAGGTGCACAGAACGTTCTATCCTGTGCTAAATACAGCTTGTGACCCTTTCTGCCAGCATGAAGACAGTGGTCTGTCTTCGTCTCGGTCTGCAGTGGGAAGAGTCCCTCTCCAGCAGCCCCGGCCCTGCCAGGGCCTCTCACGCCACCCACCGCCTTCTCTCCTTCCGCCCCCGGGTCCCACTCAGGCTGCGCTCTCGGCTGGGGAGCAGTCTCCTCCTCCTTTGTTGTCCGCTCACAAAGACCACAACCCACGCTTTCCCCGTGGATCCCGCGCACTCCACCCACGCTTTCCCCATGGAGCCCACGACGACCAC